GAGCCCTACCCCAGGATGTAGGCTAGGGCCTAGCATGCCTATTTTGGAAGACCAACAATTCTGGATTTGGCAACTGAATTCTACCTGGTTTGGGGACCAAAAGGTTAACCTTTGCTTGTGTAATAAAGCAAAGGAGCTAAAAGTCATAGTCTGAGGGCTAAACAGACTGAAGAGGATCAGGTTCTCAATTAGGAAGACAGTTTTATATCAATCTGAGAAAAGTATCTGGAGTAATTTACTCTCACATTCCCTGCTCTGTGGGCTGACACTGGACTCCTGACAGCTCGTCCATGTGACAGATGGGTAGAGAGCACTGAATGGAGAACCAGTGGCTTCTGAAGAGGCAGCTGTTGAAGGTCCCCTTGCCAGACAGTCATTCGCTAATTGTTTTGATTAATGAGATTGTGTAGTATAAAAGCAAGTGCCTGTTAAACTAGCCAGGAAAACACCTTTTCTTTTAGAGGCCCCTGGTATTGAAGAGCAAGTACCATGAGGGAGTGAGAAACACTGGGGTGCCTGGCGGAACTTTGATACATCTGGTCAGTTGTAATTTTAGGGGACACTGGATTAGTATTTGGGTCATTATGGTCAGAAATTTCTTCACTAGCCTTTTCACCCCTACTGGGAAGTGATAGGTCTGTATTTAGTTTCTAAGTGTGTAGTCAGTGTATAGTTAATATTCATGACAAACCAATAGAATGCTGCTACTACTGATAGTTATCAGTGGAATATCTGCTATGTGAAGAGAGAACAGTTTAAAAGCCAATATTGTTGAATGGTTAGGAGCTGGGCCCTGGAATCAAGCTCCTAGGATTGATTCATTGTCACCCAATTTATAAACTTTGTGATTTTGAGTAAGTCACTTAACCTTTCTGGACCTCAGTTTTCTCATCTATAAAATGGGAATGCTAAGCGCTCCATCCACATTAGCTGCGGTTGTTAACACCGTTGGAGATTTCATTGGCCAGCCAATGACTGTGGGAATACAGCAAGGTTATTGTACCCATAGATTGGTCGCTTTTGAGGTCCTCATCTCACAAATAATGTGTGAGGTAAATGAGTGAACCAAATACCTCAGTGGCATGAGACATTTTTCAGCTGTAACTGCATTTTTTCTCTCCAGCAGCAGATTCCCAATGAGTACTGGTGACTTCATTCTTTTTCATACATATTTTTTTTCTGAATCACTACCTGCGAAATAAAGGTTGTCTGGCCTAACACTGTGAACATTGTGAATAGATAAACCTTTATGGGTTGTTTTCCATTAACTATAGGCTGTTAGCTAAGAGAGCAAGGGTGTCACAAATGGAAGAACTTGCCTCCACATTTTTTGTTTGTTTGTTTTTGGTTAAGCCAGCCAAATTTAACAGAGGGGCATGCACAGCATTCTTGAAATATCCCTGACCAGGGCAATGTTTACCCTTAATTAAGACAGTGCTTTAGACAAGCAGAGAGTCACAAAGTTATGCCATTAGGTTGAGGAGGAAAAGAGGAGAGAGAAAAGCCTGGGACTGGAGATTTGCAGAGCAGCTCGCCTTGTTGAAAGTTGGCTTTGTTCAGTGCCCAACTTCTCCGAAGCTTTTCCTCAGCTGAGCGGGTGTGGTGGGGCACTGGCGTGAGAGTGTTGCTTAGCAATGAGATTTTGTGGCACCTGATTCTCAAATAGTCAAGCGACCCATCAGTTCCCTGCCTCTCTCTCCGCCAACCCTCAGCTACCATCCAGAGCCTCCCTTTAGACAGCCAAGTGTGAGCCGGAGGGAGGGACCAGAGAGAGAGGGGGCAAAGTTTAATCATTGAACCCAGCGGGCTGGAAGTATTTCGTGGGAACACCTAGCTCCCCGCAGGCCTCCTAGCCTGAGCTGGAAGTGCGCGGTCCTCCGGAGGTGTGGGGGAAACACTGCACAGAAATCTCTGCCCGTCTCAGGGGAGACCTAACTGGGGGAAAATGTTCGCAGTGCACTTGGTGGCATTTTACTTCACCAAGCTGAAGGAGGATCAGATCAAGAAGGTAAGGACTTGCAAAGCTGAGAGACTCCTCCTTCACTCTTCACTGGCAGATCTGACTGATTCCCTGTCTACCTCTGAAAGGATAAAAGAGGGCTTGTTAGAAAAGATACTGGGAGCACATGACTAGTAAAAACTCACAGAGTGAGAAGAGAAAGAAACGCTCCCACAATGCGGGTCGCCACATTCCTGTCCCGAACCTTACATTTTACTCAGAACTTCTTGGCAGGTATCTGAGAAGGAAGGGGATGAGGAGAGTGTCAGAAAGCCTAAAGAGGATTGTGTTTGATGGAAGGAGGAGAAAGTCATTTTTAAAAAAGGTTAAAGAACTTTCATGCAGATCTGATGATTCATGTATTTGAAAGCTTATGAATGGGGCACCAAGAGCTATGTGAGTTGTAATGTCCCACAGTTGGAAGATTCATTATTAGCACCTGCTGTTTGCCAACACTCTGCTATTGATGGTGTGCATTATTTTGTCACTTTGCTCAAGGAACTTGTCTATAAAATTTATTCTAAGGTGGGCCGGCTGAAGGTGACCCAGGGTCAACTGGGGAAAATCAGATCCTCTCCAGGCAGCGGAAATGACTCCAGTGTGCTCCTCTGGCCACTCACTGTCAGGCTCTGAGCAAGCAGCCATCTCTCAATTTACAGATAGCAGAAATTTCTCAGCAGGCAGACTTAGCAAGTCACCTGATATTTAAAGTGGAATGAAAATTAAACCCAAGTTGCCCAAGTCAGCTGATGCCTCCTCCAACATTGTTCCCCATTGTGCCAGATGCCTTCCTGCTTTTCAGAATGAGAGAGGGAGGAAGTATGGCCCTTTACAGCCTTCATGAGCTTGGTGGGATAAACGCCAGCTAAATTCTGTTCATTAGAGAACTGGGTTAGAGGTTACAGCAAATTTTAAAGTATTTATTATAAATCAGTCAGATTGAACCTGTCTTAATTTTCACTTGATTGGATTCACAGAGACCTCTACTGGCTACTTAAGGAGGTGAAAGAGTCCTGTACAACATTGCTTAAGAATCCATTTCCTGTTATTACCTGCTTAGGAAAGATGCAACCTGCACCCCCACAGGAGAGTCTTTGGAACTGTGAACCTTTGCTCTTTTAAATCCATTTCACTTCCTTGGGCCCCTTTGAGGTGGTTAACCTTTGTTGTACCCAGGGCAGGCTTGTTGAGGCCCCTTTGATCTGGAAATGCAGTTCCAGGTCTTTCTGGAAGGAGAGTCAGCCTTTGTCAGTGCCTAGAGTTGACTTCCCTCTACCCCAGGGGGACAACAAAGTTGGGATCACTTTGTAGCTACCTTAAGCAAGTGACTTAGCAGGACAGGGGTGGTGTGGGAAGCTGGTTTATGGTTCTGGGCTGAGTCACGATTCTGATTCCTTGGTGAAAACACACCTGGTCAAAAAGCACAGCTCTCTCTCTCTCTCTCTCTCTCTCTCTGTGGTCAGGGCATCAGCCCCCTTCATAGTTTCCTGCCTCTCGGGTTGTCAAGATCCTGGGCCATGTTTGCCTACAAGGGCTGTTATTCAGACTCTGGAATTTTTTTTTCTTTTAAATCTCCTCCTATTAACATTAAAACAAAAATAAAAAGAAAGGAAGAAAACAGAAGTCACTCGGACAGCTTCTTTTCCTATTCAATATATTGACATTATTTGACCTATTGATAACACTGGGCTGGTTTGGTCATTGACCTTCAGATTGTTTATTCATAAAAAAAGAACGGGTTAGGTTTTTAATGTGTATTTTTTATATACAGTTTAGTACATCAAAAAGTGGAAATGTTACCTTTAATTCCACTTTTAATTTACCTTTAATCATAAACACTTTCGTATTTGCTGTGTGGAAGCCTTTATAGTTTTTTCTTTCTTCATGGCGTATGTTTTTACAGTTATATTTATAATGTACTTACGGTTCAGTATCTTCATTTATTGTTATATAATAACTACGTGTGTACCTTCCTCCTTTATAATTTCATTATCTTCCTAATTTTTAGTAAAGGAGATATGCTATAATTTATTTACTCGTTACCCTCTTGTGAGACATTTGAATACTTTCAAAAACATTTTCTAATAATTAATATCGTCATGATAAACACTGGTAGATATTTATAGGGTGTCCCAAAGGTCGCCAAACATACATATATAGAGAAAGTGGGAAATTGAAGCTAAATGTACCTATATTTACAAAATATTCATCACAAAATTTTACAAAATATTTGCAAAATAGCCCTCTATGTGTTGATATATAAGTATAAAAATATTAAACTATAAAATATAACAGGAATTTGTTCATTTTCCTATGTATGGTGACCTTGGGCCACCTTTCAATTCACTTGCATTGTTCTCTGAATTTAGGATTATTTCCTGGGAACAGATTCCCGGAAGTGAACTAGGTCCAAGCGTAGAAACTTTTTATGACTCAATTCATAATATGAGACCTTTGGACTAAATGATCTCTAAGGCTCCTTCCAGCTCCCACATTCTGTAATTCAATGGCTCTGAGTTAAAAGTTTTGATTCCCTCTTCCTGCTCACTGGCTTTCTTGCTTAGAAGATACCCACTGGTATGGTTTGTGTGTCTGTCCAAAAGTGGACTTGGTTTTCTGCAACACAAGAACCCTCTCTTAGTGACTTGTGTGTCCCTGGTTCATATGCCCCACATCACTTACTTGGATGGAAAATGTAGCTTTTTTTAAAATCCCAAATTACGTTTCACTATTCCCTTCTAGCTACTGTGCCAGGTGCTGTGGGAGACACAAGTAGTAAAGAAGAGTTTGTTGCAGAGTTGACATGCTTTCTGTCCTGACTAACTTACTGGAAGAGGAGCAGCTGCCCAAAGCAGCTGAACTTCTAGCAGCTCACAAATGACCCCAACAGGGCCTCAGAACCATAACTTAAGACAAATACAAGGGGAAAACCATTACTTCAGGCTGAACAAAAACCATCAGTGACTTTAGGGGCACTGTTTGAGATGCTTCGGGGTAAGAAAGGGTTAAGTCCGGTTCCCATGTAGGGCATCCCGCACTTTCCCAACTCCAATTACTTGGGTCACGTCCCTTGTGTCAAATTTTCTCCATCTGTGTGTGGCTGTGCCAACCAATTAGTCACAAACGGACTCAGGGTGAGCAGGAAGCCCTTAATGAAGCATGACCTGGTTAAATCCTGTCTTCTCAAAAATGCTGAAAGCCCAATTGTCCTTTTTTTT